TTCGCGCGGTTAATGCAACGTCGCACTGCGGCACTAGTCGCGTCGGAAACGAAAGGAAGACAAAGAGCAACTTTTGTTGGTGCTGTTTGCTATTGATTCGAATGATTGGCTTAGCACGTCCTTTGTGGAGCGTGTAGCCATTCACCCTAGCGATTTCCAGCGCCCTTCTTTGTGATTCCTTCCGTTCTTCTTCACCTGTGCACACGTTCGCTGCTGTATGGAGCATGTTACGGATAGCTGCTCTTTTAGCAGCGGTTGGATGTGCTGAACGAGCATTTATCAAGATGTTCTTGGAACTTTCTTTACGATACCTTTTTACATTCGCGGCGCCGTTGAACAGTTTGATCTGTACGCTGAGATAAGGAAGCCAACCATCTTTCGGTTGTTGTCGCGTAAACTTTGTGTGCTGTGACTGTTGATTGAGCAATCGAAAACACTCATCCATTCCGGATTGTGTTGATGTTATGATGCAACAGTCGTTGTAACCATACCTTCGATAGTCAAGAGACAAGGGCTAGAAAGTGATAGTTGTTTGAGTTCCTGCCCCCTAAAAAAAGTGAAGGTTGTTTCAGAAAAATAGACGAAAATTTAGAGATACAAATTAAATTAGAAAACTTAGAAAATTCATATAAAGCAGAGGTTAGCACATCACCAAATCTGAAACCTTAACTTGGTGCCTTCCTACGCAGAGTTTCGTCTCCAGGATTGCCGGTAAAAGTGGGTGGCAACAACAACAAAGTTCTTTTCCAGTCAAAAAAAGCGCTGTTTAGCTGTGGCGTTAGTTGGGAGACCGAAAGAAGAATTGTCAACAACTGAATTGAACATGTTAAACATGTCCGTAAAGTTGTGTTGCACATCGACGCCAATCTGATTTTTGATGCGTCCTTTAAATTTTCACCCCCGCATAGTCGTTTCGTACGCTGCGACGTTGTCTAGATTCTTCCGCTCATCATTCTGAGCAAGTATCGTCCAAGCTGGAAAAATCCGCCGCAAAAGCACAGAAAGAGAACAAGGTAAAGAAAAACGCACTTTTTTTTTGTATTTTTCACAAAAAAACCGGTATAAGCAAAGAAGTAAGCTCGGCGACGTTGTCTACATCATAGACAGAAACAAGATCTATCGAATGCACAAAAAACCGAGTGAAAAAGTTAAACTGAAGAAAAAACAGGAGGTTTTCGAAAACGCCGTTTTTCGAGGATTTCTCGTTTAAATCCTAAAAAGAAGTTCCGCGACGTTGTCAGCGTGAAAATAGAGATCAAGAGCTTTAATATGATATATAGATTATCGAAATTGGGCTCCGAACAACGAAGAAAAGGGTACCAGAGCCAAATGCCCCGCGCCCCGCATTTGAGGTAGCGAGGTAGCGCGCAGCGCTCGGAGACGCAGACGAGCAGCGGAGACGGACCAGAGCCGACGGGGCATTTGGCTCTGGTCGTGGATCTTCGCAGGGTCTCAATGAAACCCTGCAAAATTATATATCGTTGTGATCCTCATGAGACGGCCAGGAGCACTGACAACGTCGCGGGTCTTGAAAATCACTCCATAACGAGATAGACCAGCATTCATATGGCGACTCTTTGCGCAAGATTTGAGCGCAGTTTTTCGTTTTTATTGAACTCTAGCGGCTTTAATGAACTTCCAACATTCAACCGCAGTTCAGAGAAAGGTTAATTGAGAAATTTTGCCCTAGTTTTTGATTGAATTTCCAAATAAAAACCTTCTTCTCAACAAAAAAGGCCATAAAAACGCAATCCTTCGGTTTTTTTTGAGCTTCTTTTGAATGACACTGCTATATTTGCTTCATTTAAATTCATTCCTATACGGTTATGACACTAGTTATGTCATAATTTCCGGGGCTTCGCCCCGGATGACTTCTGTACTTCTCCCCAGGTGCAGGTTGCGTTCTATCATGACGCTCAAAGTGAAGGTTACCAGAGTACATGGCTCTATGTATCGAAGGTATGGTTGTAACGGCAGTACATAAGAGGAAGACGTGACAACACTGGTTCTTCTATTCTGCTCATAAAGCAGATCGCGAGCACTGGTGCAAGTCTCTGTCCCATTGCCAAACCTCTCAACTGAGCATAGTATGTTCCTGACCACCTGAAGATGTTACAAGACAGACATTCTCTGATCAGGAGCATTACCGATTGTTTACTCAGTCCGAAGGTCTGGATCTTTTCACCGAAGTTGTTCAACATTTCTGAAACTGCCTGTAGAGCATCGTCATTTTGAACATTGGTGTACAACGATACCACGTCAAAAGACTCTGCTACGCAATCAGGTGACAAACTCGTATCGCGTAAGCGTTCCAGGAAATAATTCGTATTGGTTAAATGGGACGGAACTTTGTCCAGTAGCTGATTAACGATTTTATTCAAGAACCAGGATATTCGGTCAGTTGGTCCTCCCACACAACTTATGATCGGTCTGATTTTCAACTGTTCGGCGGTTAAAAAGCGCGCGTCATCAGTAGCGGCTAGCTTATGGGTCTTCACTAGACTATAAAAGACTGGACATTGTGGTGTTTCCAATCTAAGTCTGCTGAGAAAGCTCTCGGGAAGACCTGCTGTTCTTCCTACATCCAACCAAACATGATTTAGTCGCTTGTATTGTGCTTGAAACTCTTTTTCAGTAACGCGGCGATAAGTTTCGTATCGCTTAGGTGGAGCTTTGAGATTTGATAAATGATAAATGAATATGATAAATGCTCGTTCAGCACATCCAACCGCTGCTAAAAGAGCAGCTATCCGTAACATGCTCCATACAGCAGCGAACGTGTGCACAGGTGAAGAAGAACGGAAGGAATCACAAAGAAGGGCGCTGGAAATCGCTAGGGTGAATGGCTACACGCTCCACAAAGGACGTGCTAAGCCAATCATTCGAATCAATAGCAAACAGCATTAACAAAAAGTTGCTCTTTGTCTTCCTTTCGTTTCCGACGCGACTAGTGCCGCAGTGCGACGTTGCATTAACCGCGCGAATTTGAAGGACGATGTCATTTTAATTGACATTCCAAGTGACAACATCAGGAAGCGGCTAGTACGTAATAGACTATATGACAACTACTGCAGAGTCCAAGGCTGCGTAGTTTGTCCATCCGGTAAAGTTGGCGACTGCGGTAAAGCTGGTGTAATTTATGAGATCAAATGCATTGAATGCAGCGCCACCTATATCGGAGAGACTGGGAGACCGTTGGGTGTAAGGGTAAAAGAACATCTTGCCAGCAAGAAGAAGGGAAGTCTTACCACTCCTCTTGGTAAACATAGGGTTAAATGTCACGATGGTAATGACTTCAAAGTCAGATGTACAGGGTACGGCAAAAGTCTGGGAGCCTAACTTTGCAGTACTGCAATTACAAAGATACTGATGTTTTTGATTTCAATTATATGCTACATGATGCTGCGGTCATCCTCTACAGAATACACTCTATTTGGCTGGAAGTGGCTGCCATATGTTTTTGTAAGAATGGAAATTACCAAACTAATACTTTTGCAAAGCGAAAAAACCAGAATTTTTGGTATCTACAATTTTTGCTGTGACTAGAGATGCTGTTAATATTTTACAAAACTTCGCTACATACAACATAGAAGAGGCTTTGTGCTATTGTATCCTAGTTTTGCTTTTGTCAGGAGGTGTTCTTGCATGAACGGAAAATAGAAGTTTGCGAATGTTACCTTCGTGCCAATGGAAATCCGCCTTCAGAACAAATTTAAAAAGCTATAGAATGCTCAACAGGCACTGGAACTAAGGCTGTATTTATTGCATACATCTTTTAAATTAGAATCTATTAAAATTTGGCCATGGGAACACTTTTTATACTTTTTAAACTACATTTTTAAGTTTTTATTCGCGCTATTGTAGCCAAAATTCCGGTATGAGACGTACACGTGCTTCTAATTAAAAATCCAATATTTTTATTCCTAAGCAATGCAAAAAATTCTTTTGGAAGTATTTTGTAGACAAAAGTTTGCTCTATCACGCTGCCCATTTACCAAGTTAAAAGAAGCAGTTATTGAGAAGGCGTGAAGCGAATTCCTTACGACTACCTGCGTGCCATGACAGGTGGATTTGCCAAGATTTTGTAGGGCTGCGTGGAAGCCAAAAGGGGCAATTTTGCAATTCAAGAATTGGGCTGTATCTGCAATGGTTCGAATTATGTGTAAGCCAAATTTTCCGTTTCTAGGTACTTCCCTTCTCGTTTTGTACGAAAAAGTACTAGGCTCCCAGACTTTTGCCGCACCCTGTACTATACTCGCATACGAGTACGACACTGCTGTAAGAAAAGCTCTCGAGGCATTCTGGATTTATGCGAGAAACCCAAGTACGAACAGCCGGAATGAGTGTATGTTGATTACGAATGATTTTATGCCTTTTGTGACGTTATGCGAGTTGAAGGCCACTAGTGATTAGTCCAAATATGGTATACAAGTATTCCATTATTATACTAGTGGCATCGAAGGACGGCCGCCCTAACATCCGCGCGCCGACGGTGGAGGAGGTCAGTTCGTCTTTCACGTTTGGGATTTTTTCTTGTGATATTCTGGGGCAAATCGAGGCTGGTCAGGGCTGGTGGAGGATTTTGGTGGGTTAGACACATAATCGTAAATCTCCTACCACTTTAGGCCTCTGAAGAAGACGACTTGTTCGAAACGTTAGGCCGCCACTAATAAAATCTACTAACCTCGGTCGGCTTACTCACCTACTAACACACATTATACTAAATACTTTCATTTATTAGTCTCCTTAACTGTCCTTTTCTGTGTTTTCATCGAACTTCGCATTTATATCTGCACTGTTTCTTGCACTTCGAAATACGGTGAATGAGTTTTACCGTAAATATAATGACGAATATAATGGTATAAATTTCATCTCAAAAGGCCACGGACACTAAGTATTGTTTCCTTGTAAGCTGAGAGTGTAACTCTTGCAGACGATACGTGAGACGATGATAACGGTGAAAAACTGTAGGTAACTATTTAGTTCGTCTTAGATTTCAGGTAATGGGTGGTGAACGAGCAAGAAGAGGTGAACTTCCATGGGCGGTACTGCTTTCCTTCGGATATCCCAATGGTATGTTTGTGAAATTGAACTTAGCTCAAGGGACGCGTTCTTCTTGAATTTAGACGGGTCAAGGTATCATTTGATAAAAACCTCTACAGAATGATAGTTTTGCTTTCTCAGCAACAGTTCAACTCCATCTCAATTTCAAAGCCAAAAACTAAATATCAAGTTGGCACATAAGTTTTGCAACTTTTTCCATAACTTTCTTTTTACCAAATGTAGGCCTTCGCAAATTGTTTGATTTATGACAACGTAGTAAAAAAATTTTAAGCATTTTACGAAAACCCTTGAAAATCGAGGTTTTACGGTTTTTTTTGGCAAACATGAAGCCGTACAAAACCTGAATCAAACATATCATAAAAGAATCATAGGCAGCATGTGGCTAGAAGTTAACACATTAGAGTTAGTAAAAAAAAGAATTCATAGACAAATTAACAAGGGAAGCGTGTTTAGTCGAAATGGCCTATCCAGATGAGACCCGTACTGCTTTGAAGAGTATTGCACGATGATTCCAAATCTGTCTTTCAACTTTGCCAAGCGCCTCTGGACGCCGAGTTATGGGCGTTTTTCAGGTCAAAAAATTGAACGCAAAACTGGAACAAAATTGCCCCAATTTGCTCAAAGGGTCCAGTGTCAAGTATCAGAGCTGTTTATGCAATGGATTTGTTTTGTTTAATATGCTATCACTTAACATTGCATTATCTGAGCGCGGTAAAGATTGTAACAATCAATTTTACCTAAATTCTGGATTCATTTTTTATTCCGAAGAACGGTCATAACTCGGCGTCCAGGGGCGTTCGTTTGGCAGATTTGGAAGGCAGATTTGAAATCATCGTTTGAAGCTCTTCAAAGCAGTATTGGTCTCATCTGGAAAGGCCATTTTGACTACACACGCTTCCCTCGTAAGATGTGGCACTTTTGAGAAGTAGAGCAAGTCAAATGCTTCACGTTTTGAAGGCACTTTGTCAAAAACTAAGCTGCGAAACCTCAGAATTCGTCAAAACTTTGCACAATAGGGTAATGTAAATACGAATATCATGTTCATTTGTGCTAAGATAACATTCATTTTTTTGGCTTTTCGAAATAGGCTTTTCCATGCGAAACGGGTCTCATTTTTGTAACAGCGTGTCGAATAACCCCTTGGGCCAAATTTCGGCGAAATCTGACGCATAACGTAACCCATAGTAAACCTTGCATAAAATAAGATGGCAAAATTTGGCAAAAATTACGCATTTGCAGTTACATCATGATCCTTATATTTCCAGAAAATGAATGCGCTACGTTCAAAAAGACAAAAGTTTTAGAAAAAGCTGCATTACTTATGTGCCAATCTAATAGATCCAACCGCCAAGAAGACAGAGAATAGATCGTAACTTCCAAAAAAATTCTAGAGGATTCCTAACTTGCTCACAGTACACTATCCATATCAAATATTCAGATATACTCTTGCTGTATGTTTTTGAAAAGAGATTAAATCGAATTCTTATGTTTTTGCTAGAATGGTGCTGTTTTCCCACATCACAAGTTGTATAATACAGACGAGTTAACTACAAGTTTGAATTTTCAGCTCTCTACAAGCATAAGTTTTCCAAAAAACTTTTTTTAGTATGGAGCAAGTGACGCTAACTACGATGTTTCGATTAAAGCTCCAAAGCGCTGAAAATTCATTAGCAAGTAGAAATTTATAGAGACTTTTTTGGACAAAGTTACAATTTCTTCGCTATCTTTCAAGGAATTGGCTCTTTTCAGCTTTTGGTCTCAAAATTGAGATGGTTTTGAACTGGTGCGACAACAAAAATGCCATCCTGCAGGGCCTTGATTTGCTCTATGAAATGCTGCCTCAAAAGCTCTCTAGTATTAAGAGTTCATGACTTGACGCGATTGAAATTTAAAATGGACGGAACTTATGAGAACGTGATAATTTCAGAATTTCATGTTCTGTTAAAAAATATGGTATATATGCCAGTTTCAGTAGGTCCCAAGATTGTTATCTGTTTATTAGTACAATCAAGCCAGTAAACAGGTCAGTGTTTCGAGAAAGTCGCCATTGTTTCTGGAAAGTAAGTCACTGAATTGGACGTTCCGAGGGTAAGTATATCCTTGGTGATATACTATAAGCGGCTGTCAGCCACCCTGATACTTAGTGTCAAGCCACTATATACTAAATTTATGATAAAATAAGGTTTCTTTTTAAAGTCAGACTCAGATCCGCACATTGATAAGAATGGGGCGAGTTCACTACTGATAGCCATCTTTTCCTCCGTTCGCTCAGTTTAGGACACTTGAACGTAACCCAGCAAGCCTCTATGGTTTTCCTTGCTGCAGTGTCGGTTTCTCGAAAGAAGAGCAAACGAGTTTGATTTGAAACTCGATATTTTGATGGAAACTTTAGCGTTATCGGAAACTTTAGCGTTACCCTTATAACGCAGATTGTGTGAGTGTGTTTTTCGGCAGAAGGTAAGCGTTTGCTTGTGCAGATTGGATAGCCTGCTTGTTTGATGCGGATTCCAAAGCGTCACTAGACAACACTTTTTCGGCGTTCGTAGCGTATCTCTAATGATTTAATATTCATTCGAATTGGGTGTACGGAAAAGAAATATGAAAGTATATTTTTATTACTTGATTTTCTATAGTAGCAGCGTGTTCTTTGCAAAGTAGATCTACATTGGAAAACAGTAAACAATCTGCTTAAGCGTTTTCCTTATGAAGTTGAAATCAGCTGAATGAGTATTGTGTAGTCAAGACATAGATCCATCTCCGCTTGTGTTGGACAAATTATAAAGATATTGTCGATATTTGTAGTAAAACTAAGTTTGAGCTGAGAAGTTGAGAAGGTTAAGAAGGTTCTATCTTCAAAATAAATGCTATTGCTGAAAGAGGTGCCAAAAGCTGTCTTATTGCGAGTCCCCTATTTCGCTTATAATGTCCTGACCATTTGGAAACATTTCAAACACTCTCTCAATAATGTCATGAATAGCTGTGTGTTGAAGTTATAGAAGTTGATACTGTTACCCTAGTCAGACAATAATTCGAAAAGCTTGTAAGGCATCAAAGTTCGAGGAATTTGTATATAGGGAAGTGGCATCAAAAGATACTATGGCGTCATTTCCGCTGATTCGAGCATTCTTCAAAACTCAAGCAGAGCCATATTGTAGTAACTGTATTGAAATTAGATTATATACCATGTTATTCTGTGTGTGGGGCCATGTTGTCCTTATGTGGATTTGATGACCCAGGGTTGAACAAGAGGTCAGACGCAAGTCTTTCAAACATGCCAGGGGTGGAGTATTCGGCTTTGACGCAGGCCTCCTTGTTAGCCACATCGAAGGATCGGACCAACGTAGATCAGACACTCTTGGGCTTTCCTTTAATCTGGGCTAGATTTTGGGTAACGCTGCCGTTAAAGGCACCTCCAACCTATGTTGAGTGTTTTAAGCTTTTGGTAGCACATGATAGTAGCCCCCTATCAACCCAATGCCTAAGTCGCGAAGCAAAGTGTCAATTTGGAAGCAAGAAAATTGCTTCGAAAAAATGTAAATGCACGAAGACCCCCTCCCCCCCCCCCCCCCACCGCCCCCCTCATCCATGACCGTCCACCCGGCGCGCCCACATCGCCGTTCCGGAAAGCCGGCCTGCGGATTCTTCGAAACGGGATTGTTGAGGTTTTCGCGCATTCTCAAATTCATATTTGGAATCATGGACATGAGAACGCCCCGGAACGATCAAAACATGGAAGTCAAGAAGCTTGTTTTTAAGGGGGTCAGGCACAAGGCTAACAAACTTATGCAGCTTGACCTTCGATAGTCTAGAGACAGGGCGTCAAAAGTGAAGGTTTTTTGAACATCTGATGCCATAAATAGTAAAGGCTGTTTAAAGATGATCAGAGAAGAGAAAATGACATAAACAGATATAAAAAGCAAAATAAACTACTGAAAACCGGATAAAAACGCTGCAATGGGGCTTGAAATCTTTTTTCGCTTCAGGACCAGCAATTCGCAACACTTGGTTTTGGTTTCTGATGCGTCCTTTCAATTTTTACCCACTCATTGAGGTTCCTGTTTTCTGGGACGTTGTCTGGATCGCTGCGCTTATTGTTCTGAGCAACAATCGCCCAAGCTGGAAAAAAATCGATGCGAAAGCACTGAAACAGAACAAGGTAAAGAAAAACGCACTTTTTACGTTTTTTCGCAAAAAATTCCACAATGATCGAAGAGATAAAGGCTGGGCGGTTGTCTGCATTATGAACAGAAGCAAGATCTATAGAATGCACGAAAAAACTGCGTGATAATAGTTAATTAGGAGAAAAACAAGAGATTTTCGAAAACAGGATTTTTGCCTGATTTCTCGTTCAAATCAAAAAATGTGGTTTTAAGAAGTTGTCAACACAAAAGTGGAGATCAAGTTCTTTGATATGATGTATAGCGTGCTGAAATTGGGTTTAGGGTAACGAGGTAGCGCGCAGCGCGCGGAGATGCAGACGAGCAGCGGAGGCAGACCAGAGCCGACGGGGCATTTGGCTCTGGTCGTAGATCTCCGCGGGCTCTCAACGAAACCCCGCAACATTATATATCATTCTGATCGCCATGACACGGCGAGGAAAACTGACAACGTCACAAGCTTTCAAAATCACTCATTAACGAGATAGACAGCGTTTTCGTGCGCGACTCTCTGTGCAAGATTTAAGCGCAGTTTCTCGTTCTTATTTGACTCCAATAGCTTTCCTAAACTTCTAATACTCAATTTTGTTCAAATGAGAGGTTGACTAAGAAATTTTATTCTGAATTCTGGCGAAAATCTTACAGAAACCTTTTTCAAAGGTAAAAAAGGCTATAAGAACGCAAATTCTCTGTTTCACTGAGATAAGCTAAAGGTATCATTCCCTATATTTGCTTCATTAACATACGTCCCGATATAGTCAACAAGATAATAACATCCAGGGCGAAGCCCGGATGACTTCTGTTTTTTTCCCAGTGAAGGTCGTGTCCCCTCATACTCCTTAAAGTGAAGGT